ATATGTGATATATATTTCTTTTGGTGATATTCACCTTTACCATTAAGGCCTTTCAGAAACATAATTACCTGTTTAGCATGCAACTATACTAAGCATAAGAATGTTTATACAGCAAAGTACACCTCTGGAATATATGTCTGAAAAGCAGAGAAACATAAAATCCCACTAAAAATGTAAAATTAATGACTATTTTACAGTAATTATAGATTGTATTTCTTCTAAAATATAATGAGTCAGTTAAGTTATTGAGACTTTTTGGCTATCATTTTGCCATAGAATACGTTATTTCTAACTTAGCTAACTTCAAGTTTTCATCTTTTACTGTATATAACTAAATTAAGTATGCTTCCCTGATTTGTATGCCATTCTTTCAGATACTCAGATGTCTACCTTTAAATTGCTTTTATCTGCTATCTTCCTGCGAGTATAATTTTATTCAGAAAAGCTCCAAAGCCGTATGCACAAGAAGACATGTGAGAAATAATGACTTTTGCAACTCAGAACAGCAATGCTTAATTTACACAAATGCAGCTAATCTAATGCTAATTTGAAATGCCGCGTTTAAGATTGCGTTGGTCTGAGACTCGTTCTACCAGCAATAGGTTTAAACTGAATCTGTTAACACTTACGCAATTTGTTCTTTTTGGGTTAAAGGTCAGTAATTTCAGTTATGTGACTGCAGAGTTAAAATAGTAGTGGGACTTGTGCTAACATTGTAATCTCCTTACAATTTTAAAAAACAGAAAAGTAAAACAACAGAAAGTACAACTAATTCTTACCCAAGATTATCAGGGTCAAAAACACGGTTCAGATCACAGTCAATGTATCTAGTGCACTTCTTCACAGCTCTTGGGTTGGTAAGAAATGGTTTCACTTCCATTCCTGTTCTTTGAATCTCAGCTCCATTCTCTTGCCAGTGCTTGACCAAAAATACCCCTGATAACTCATTGCCATGAGTTCCCCCGAAGATAGCAACCCGTCTTACTGGAGGTTTATCAACAACAGAAGAGGAAGTCATGCTTTTCAGCAGCTCTAAGAATTGCTGAAAGCAAAATAGAAAATAATGATAAAGTAAAACTTTTGTCTCAAAAAAAAAATATCTTTTTTGCTCCTTTAAATGGAAAATTTTTTAAGCATGTTTAGGTCAGATGTGAATGAAAGTGAATTAACATTTCTCTAACAGTTTTAGACTCCCGTTGCGAGGCGGGGAGTTGCTAACCTGACACTCCTCCCTCCGGAGGAGCACTCCCCTTCATTTACCGTATTTAGTAATGTCTCCAGTCTGTTAATGGCACTGTTACACAGTTCAAAAGTTAACTTCTCCAGGCAATCTCTATTAATGCATGATATAGAGGTAAATCTTGTACTAATGACAGCATGAAAAGGCTTTTTAAATGTAAACTTTAATAATGCACTTAAATATCTCTGACATTTTTGCATTGCAAACTAGGTGTAGCAAGTATACTCATGTATGTTTGAAGTTACATAAACATTACAGTATACAAGGGCAGAATGATTTAAAGTGAGCAAAACCAGTAAAATATGAATCATATCTTGGCTCTAGATCAACACATAATGCTGAAACATCAAGTACTTTCATCTAAAAAAACAAGACCAGCTGAGTTCCTCAAAGCATGTTGTTGCTTGCATGACCTTTTTTGTTTTATAATATCTGAAGAACTGTGATTAGAAGGAGCACTAGCTGAAATTAAAGTGCAATTTATCCACGACTGACTGACCTAGTATTCCTGGCTCTAGTTCTATCTCGGGATCGGCTAACGCAGACCTCTAACACATTGCAGCAACTTTGCCAGTGACAACCCTTCTAACTTCTGCAATCTCTTATTAAAAAGGAAACGGATATAGACCACAATGGGACAATAGTTCTGTCCTCCCCCAAAAAAAACCTTCGTCAACAACTTGACTTCTTCCATTTCCAAAAGCATTCAGCTAGGCTTCTGAAACTTAAGCCAAAGAGCAGCCCTAACTTCCATCACAAGGATCAAAACATTTAGAATAAAAGGTCTTAGTAACAGAAAATGTTTTACTGCTGTAAATGACAGAAGTATTTGCAATTGGTATCCGACACACGATATAAATATAAAAAGTGTTACACTGCAAGGGAATAGAGAATGTTTGTTGAACAATTCCTTTTTATTAATATTATACTCCCGTGACTTGAGTATTTGGCTAGTGCCTGGGAGAGGCTTTATAACCCAGGCTGATAGATCATAGGTCTCCGAAAAGAAAGCTAAAACGTAAGACTTATCTAGACAAGTTCTGCCAGGAATATATTTCCTACAAAAGTTGCTCTCTATGTTTCTGCTTATGCGTACAGATTTGCTGAACCTTACAGTGAGTTAAGAGACTGCTTACTTAAACACTCGACTGTATTGCTCCTGTACTTAGAAGCTGTCAGATATTTAATCATAGTAAGTGATTTATTAAACAAAGCAGTAAAGTTGTATTTTACAGCGCTGGACAGCCTGTACTGTCCTTTGACCCCAGGCTCTTTAAGCAGTGGCTTATAGCCAAAATGGCTATTTAGACACTGCCTGAAAAAATGACGCGCGCTCCGAATCTTGGTTTGCTGAATTTAAACACCACGGCAGTTTGAAGAGTAAATGGCAAAATGCAAACATGCAGTACTAGTACATGTAGTTTATCTTTTATGGCTGGTGGTACTGTAATGGTGATAATTCCCTGCAAAACGCTGAATGAAATACAGAGATCATTTGTGCACTTACCTCATTTAACATGCAAGAAGTTTGTCTCCTAAGAAGAGCTTTCTTAGGACAGATACAGTGCATTTCCAAACATGAGTTTAAGAACTAAAGCCATGGAGGCTTCTTTTATACCCTTAGAGTACGTTAACTTCCAAACAACTTTTAACTCCTGCTCTCCCAGGACATTACAAGCACCAGCGAGTTTGTGGCATAAATGCAGACGCTTGAAAAGCTTTCACCCTTCTGAATTAAAACACTGGGACCAATCCCTTGTTCCTGTGCTTTGCCAATACTTACACTCTGAAAAATTATGCAGGATCATGTTTAGTTTATTAAGAATTCAGATTGGTTTTGTGTACTACATACGAACATCTAGTAGTGCATCTGAAAGCTTAGAATGTGTGCCATGAGCTGAAATGCATACACAGTAATAAAATGTAAATTAAATGAAGTCTATCAAAGCCATGAAGATATATATATATATGTAAGAAGCGTAACGTGGCTCACCAAAGCCTTCCAAGGCACTGGCTGAAGCAAAAACTGGGATTACAAAAAAAAAGGACAGGCTCCAACCCTGCTGAGTGCCAAGATTTTATACAGGAACCACTCAGAAGTTACAGGCTGTTGAAAACAGCCCTGTGTAAAAGCCAGGATAGTGGCTGAAGAGAAAAACAGCGTGAAGAATACGAATAGTTTTATTTACATCCGCGTTTGTGTTCACACGTTTGCGGGTATTCAGCACCTGCCCCGGGTTTCTCCAAGTGCTGAGCACGACACCCCGCGGGCCAGCTCCACGGGTACGGAGGTAATTCACTAAATCCTACAAAAAA